TCTCCTTTGTAATAACGGTGCCGCCGTCAAACAGCGGCACCAACATCAATCATGTATGCAAATTTCTTTGTAAACTGGACCAAACTGGAGAGAGGCGGAGCTCCAGATGGGTTCAGCAGCCGATTTTTTCGGCTTGTATTTTACTGTTAACATTTTGTCGACGCCGACCGGGCCGTGTGCGGACACCAGTACGCCGACGAACAACAACATCCTCACATCGATCGGACACCGTCTGCCAGGATCAACACGTCGTCTGCCGACATCATACCTCTCTTCAACCCCCCCTTTTTTGTTTCTTATTGTTATTTTTCTATAACATAAATAACCTATGTTACCTCTAGTTGACAAAGACAACTGAGGTTAAGCATAGTAACGGTAGGAAACACCAAGAGTCAAGGTCGGAAAGAAAAAAACTTTATGTTTTCACCACAACTGGTATCAAAAAAATATCCAATTTTAAAAAACACAAACCTGGTAAGTGATAATCTTCCTGGACTGATTCAAAATCTGTTCATACTCATAATTTTCTTGTGTTGTGCGAATTATCCTTGGTGATGTTTTTACGTGCAGCAGCAATTCATCAAGTGCCGTGGTAACCTAAAACAGCATAACCCTAATAGCATAATGTTGCAAAAGCTCCACAAAAAAGGGCAAAAATTCATACATTTTTTTTACGAAATTTTCATCAAAAGAACACCGAAAACGATTTGAAAAATAGTGAGGATTATATAAAAAAATACGGCTACTTCCCAAGGAAAACTACTCATTATTAATCTGGGTGATTATAAATAAGTGCAGATAATAAAATCGATAAATCCTCAATCATTCTAAATTCGAAACTTAAAAAAACTTCTTTATGAGAGTCGACTAAGTGACTTAAGAAGAGCAGGGCTACCTGCCGAGCGGCTTCATGGATATCACCGTAGGATCGCTGGCCATCGGTGATACTTCGCTTGCACGCCGCTTGAGCATCTATCAGCAAATCTTCGACCGCTCGAGCGACCTGTTTTGCAGCAGCAGTTAGCTGTTCTTGACAGGCCGGTGACTCGATTGTTGGAGCTACCACTCGAGCACAGGCCACCAGTTGCGAGGTGGCAAACGCGCACTGCGTCGCCGAATGGATCACTTTGTCCTGCAGTGCCGGCTCTTCGCATTCTGCAGAGATTGTTTTGGCCCTGTAAATCACTCAGAAGCTTGGATTTCAGGAAACTATGCAAAAAAAACGGACAGAAGTTCTTTCTCGTGGAGAAATTACCCGTATTTGTTAAAATAAATGGCAACGCGCACCAGACTAGCCGGTGCGATCATGCGTTTTGTGCAATTCAGCC